GGAGATGTGAAGGTAGGATCAGTTACCATTTTTTTAATTATTATTATTTTATTATTATAATCTATGTTTTTCACAGTAGCAAAATAATTGAATCTATGTATAATTCGGCAAGATACCATGTTCGAATTAAAACTAGTAATGTTCTAAATGTTACAAGCATTTCATGTGTTATCTTATGAGGATCCTCATTTACACTTAAATTCATTTTTGGATGTAAGTTCATTTTTGGGTGTAAGTGATTCCTTAAAGATTAAGTCTATTTCCCTATTTATTAATGCAACAAAATCTTGGTTAAACATTGTGCCTACTGGAACAATCAACTCGTGGAACACATGACTGAGAAATTGTTAATCTAAGTAATTTCCACTCACAAGAGTGTATGAAATAGTAGCTTAATTTGATGATGAGACATTGAGTGATGCATGGGAAAGGTTCAAAGAATTACTGTGAAAATATCCTCATCCCGATACACCTCATTGCATACAAATATATACAATGAATTGAACAACACAACCAAACAAGTTGTAGATGCATTTGCAAATAGAGCCATCCTGTCAAAAGATTATAATGAGGCTTATGAAGCATAGACTAATGTACAAGGACATAATTGGAAAGCTTGATAAAGGAATAAATGTCTAAACATTAGGCAGTAATTCAAAGTTAGCAAGCATCTTTACGTACTTGAGAGGTGCAAACGGGTCAGTTGGCATATGAACTAAGAACTAGACTTGCTAGCAAAGGCCAAAGAAGCTAGCAATAGACACTGCCAAGAAGAGAATAAAGAAGGTACGGACCAAGATGAGGAAAGGTCTAATAAGGATCCTATAATAACATAGATAGAAAAAAAATTAAAAAACGTGAGTAGATCATGTACAACCTTTCCCACAAAGGGTAAAGAGAAAAATAAAAACCCAATATTGAAAGTTAATGTTCATTTTGAAGGAGATACATTGCAATATTATGCTTGTGGAGGCACTCCAACAGATGCCCAATTATATCAGTTCTCGAAGGATATCACGACGAAAATAAAGAAATTTGAACGGATTTAAGCCTACAGGTAGGTTGCTTGCTCAATATTTTTATACTAACTAGATATTACCTTTCGTTTTCAAGTGATTTTTTATTTACTAGTCGAATTGAGAAGCGTTCGAGGACTATGTGGTCGCAGAGGAGGGTCATCTTAAGGCGTCCTTCCACTTTGTACTTAGATTGTCGTTTGTTTGTATTACGCACCCAAATCCCCAATTTTCTTTTACACCAATATTTTTTTTTTCAAATATAAAACTGTTCTTTAACAAATGTTTTTGATCTCATCGTTTAAATGATGTGTTGGTTTTTAAATTTGTGAAAATTTATTGTACTTATCCGTGATTTGAAGTCCACATCACGATCCATGATTTGAAGTCTAAAAATTTGGAGTGTGACAAGTGTTGATAATGGGACTAGCATTAGAGCCTCACCCTCTTACTTTTCTAAGAAACTTAGTTTATAGTTAGATCATATAAAGAAATTTTTCGTTAAGGAATTAACGACACTTAATAAGAATGATAAAATTATAGGAATAAAACAAAATTATCACTATAAACAACTCATGAAGAAACGACTATATGTAGTGATTATATCTACGGACATGCTTGTCCTACACTACATAAAATTTTAACTCTAGGTCTATAATGGTATGACTTACCATTATGAATAAAAATTGATTAATTAAAGAGTTAGCAAATTAATTTTATGTCATTGGTGCTTATACTATCGTGATAACACTAAAAGTTAAATTTATTCGAAAGAAAATTTTGAAATGTCCATTTCCATCATTACATGCTTAGATAAATCTTAGTGACTTGGTTTGATAAACACGTATGTAATGGTCAATTTTATAGTATCGAGTAATTCAACCAAGTGAGACCGTAAATCGTGGTTCACGTGGGCTAGTTTAAGTGAGTCGACCATATTAGCTTTGTTTTTTTCCTTAAGAAAATAGTTAATGTCTTTGTTCTCTCCTTCATTCATACGGTTTTCAGCTCAGCTCATAGGGTATTTGACCCTTAAACCGAACAAATTAGAGGATCGAAGAAACTTCACTTCCTATTGAGTAAAATCCCTAATAAAAAAAGCCTGTAGCTATCTACTAATCTCAATTTAAAAATAGCTCGTAAGATTTTGAAAAATATAACATCCCACGTATATTTTTACAATTATAAGTTTAAATACATAAGGGAGTTAGAACACAAAACAATCCAGACAAAAACGGACACAAAATGGTGGAAGCTTTCGACCCTATGTTTAGCTCTTTCTATGGAACCTGCTCTACATTTGCTCCCATCCTCGACCAACATCTAGTCATTCCATGAAAACATGTAAAAAAGAGAGTGAGTATAAAACTCAATAGTGGATGTTGGGATACCAATTTTCTACTTAACCGAAGGTCGCTACCGGAAACATATCATGACTATTGAATGTAGAATTATCTTATTTAAACTTTCATAAAATATAACTTTATTTAACAATACAACCACGGACTTTCGTGTTTGAAAACATCTTTAAAATTACACAACAAAGGAAGAAATAAAATAAATGAACGATTAAATTAAAAACATCATATTCTAGCCTACGTCTAAGAAAAATAAATGCGACTACCCTATGCATGTGTTATGGTCTTGAATTGTGATGCCATTGTCAGTCGTACAAAAATGTCTTGCATTTACCTGAAATAGAAGTAGCACGTGACTTAAGTATAAGAAATATTTGATCCCACTATTGAATGTGACCTATCATAATATTCTATATTTGATCCCACTATTGAATGTGACCTATCATACTATTCTATTTTCTTGCTGCAGCTATCTTAATGGGAAAATTAGATGTGTAATTAATTTCCTACACACGGCCCACACGTGCAAGTATGGACCCATTAGTTAGTTCGCATACCTCTTGGGCCCCCTTTTCTTGTTGGGCGAGCATTCTCTGGTAGCTCTCCATGTTGGATACCGATTAGAAGTAGCAGTCATCATGACAACTTATCTATTTAAAAAGGAGCAAAAATTCACCACAAAGTTCTACAACCTATCTATTTAAGCTATCCCAGGTGAAACTTCCTTGTTATTATTGATTTTCTCATTGAAGGCAGGTTTCAATTCTCGTACTTGGACATTCAAAATGCTAGAATTTTCTTTTGCTCGACCTCATAGAGCCTATTTTATGGAGCAAAAAAGAAATTGATGAGAACCCATCTAAAGATGAGTTAAATTCATTAAGGTGATCTAGTTTGAGTGATGTGCCTGGTTTAATTGAACTAGCCACATTATCATCTTAAACCACTCACCATGGAAATGATAATTTTGTGACCTCCATACCACTCAAAAAGCTGTCAAGGTATCTACAAAGAAGAGGAAAGGATGAACCTTGTGCATTGTAGTGTGGACGGTTGTAATGACCCATTTTTTCGAAACATTCAATCACGACCAATATAATTACAAAAGGGTTAAAAGATGGGAAAATTTTATCTTTTAATAAAAAAATAAAACACATTAAAAGTAAATACATTAAAACAAAACAACTTAAATATACATGTGCACATGTAGGACTTTAACTACAAAGTTCATTTACAAATTATGTGGTTTTCAAAAGCTATATGCAAAAAAAACTACAAGATTGGGTGAATGAGTCCCCTCCATAGTCGCACGACCCAACATAATCCTACCATGACCAGCTATTACTGTCCACCTGAAAAATAAAATGTAGCAAAAGTGACTATTAAAAGAACGTGTTCTAGTCATACTGGTACAAGAACGTATTCTAACCATATCGTTCTATTAATCTATCGTAATCATATTTTTTTTATACATAACAGAAATCATATCGTTATATCAATCATATTTTAGTCATATCATTATATTACGTTTATCGTATCCTTCTCGTATCCTATATCAAACATATCATTGAACACATTATAACGTAAAAGTGATCATATCATTCACATATCATAATACATACATAATATATCATAGTCATATCGATTCATAAACAATTCACACATATCAAATTTATGACATGTGCGGAACCACAAAGCACGTGTCAGCATCAAATATAAGCATGTCGATGGTAAGATCACTTACCTAATTAACTTACGTTGTTGTCACGAATTCCTTAATAAAAGTTCGATTATGTCCATTGAAATCCAAGTCAACCTATGTGAACAAATGACATCAGTTTCAAGTTCAAACTTTTACAAAATTATTTCTTTAATTTACATTAATCCATGTGTTATACTTCATTGGAACGATAGAGTCTTTCAATGAGTTAAGATTTGAAATGTTTATTTGGGTGTGTTATAGCATTATTGTCATACAAACCATTTAATTTTTTTTTTTTTTTTTTTTTTTTTTACCTTTTCCATATATTTTCTTTTCTCTTATGGTGTATTTCTATTTTTTTTTCTTTCTTTTAATTACCGTCTCAATCTTCCCCTTTTTATTATTATTTTTTTTGTTTCCTTTTTAACTTTTAGTTGAAGCTCATATAAAATTCTTTTGATTTAATTTCTAATTCATTTTTTTCTTTAAAGAATTATTTTATTTTATTAATTTTTGTTTTCTTTCTAGAGCAGAATTGTTGATCATTGTGCGATTATAGGGAAGGAGATGTGAAGGTAGGAGTTACCATTTTTTTTAATTATTATTATAATTTTTTTTATTTTTTTAATTATTATTATTATTATTATAATCTATGTTTTCACAGTAGGGAAAGAATTGAATCTATGTATAATTCGGCAAGATACCATGTTTGAATTAAAACTGGTAATGTTCTAAATGTTACAAGCATTTCATGTGTTATCTTATGAGGATCCTCGTTTACACTTAAATTCATTTTTGGATGTAAGTGACTCCTTAAAGATTAAGTCTATTTCCCTATTTATTAATGCAACAAAATCTTGGTTAAACATTGTGCCTATTGGAACAATCAAACTCGTGGGAGAATGTTAAATTCATAAGAATGTCAAATTCATATATGAAATAGTAGCCTTCCAACAATATAATGATGAGATATTGAGTGAGGCGTGTGAAAAGTTCAAGGAATTACTGAGAAAATATCCTCATCCTAATACGCCTCATTGCATACAAATGTCGCAACCAAACAAGTTGGAGATGCATTTGCAAATCGAGTCATCCTGTCAAAAGCTTATAATGAGGCTTATGAAGCATAGACTAATGTACACTAATGTACAGAGACATCATTGGAAAGCTTGATAAAGGAATAAATGTCTAAACATTAGGTAGTAATTCAAAGTCAGCAAGCATCTTTACGTACTTGGGAGGTGCAAACGGGTCAGTTGGCATATGAACTAAGAACTAGACTTGCTAGCAAAAGCCAAAGAAGCTAGCAATAGACACTGCCAAGAAGAGAATAAAGAAGGTACGGACCAAGATGAGGAAAGGTCTAATAAGGATCCTATAATAACATAGAGAAAAAAAATTAAAAAAGGTGAGTAGATCATGTACCACCTTTCCCACCAAGGGTAAAGAGAAAAATAAAAACCCAATATTGAAAGTTAATGTTCATTTTGAAGGAGATACATTGCAATATTATGCTTGTGGAGGCACTCCAACAGATGCCCAATTATATCAGTTTTCGAAGGATATCACGACGAAAATAAAGAAATTTGAAGAGTTCAAAGTTGTAGTCATGAACGAAGAGTGTACTGCGATCCTCAATAATAAAATCCCTTGGAGGGAGTTGGCTAACACAAAGTGTCGCTCTCCTAGATTCATCGTGACTTATGGTCCTGTGGAAAGGTTGTCAGCTTACCTTATACAAATGATATTTAGGATTTCGTACAAATGATATTCAGGATTTCTGATGAAGTCGAACCTTTCAGACTCAAGATATTGATGATTCACTCTCTAGTCCATGTATGCTAGCTAAGAAGAATAAAAATGCTGATTCACCACAAAATTCATTAAGCCTTTTAAGAGATACTTCGATATTAAAATAGGTGAACAACCTCCAAACCTAATTGGGTTTATGACGCATGAAAACCACCTCAAGAACTTCAAGGTTCCAGAAGCTTAGATAGATGCATAACTTTGGTTTGAACATTCTAGCCAAATTGAACTCATTAGTAGCTTACTAGGGCATGAATGTGATTTAAGCCTATAGGTAGGTTGCTTGCTCAATATTTTTATACTCTCTAGATATTACCTTTCGTTTTCAAGTGATTTTTTATTTACTAGTCGAGTTGAGAAGCGTTAGAGAACTATGTGGTCACAGAGGAGGGTCATCTTAAGGCGTCAATCCACTTTGTACTTAGATTGTCACCCAAATTCCCAATTTTCTTTTACACCAATATTTTTTTTTTTCAAATATAAAACTGTTCTTTAACAAATGTTTTTGATCTCATCGTTTAAATGATGGGTTGGTTTTTAAATTTGTGAAAATTTATTGTACTTATCCATAAGTCCAGTCCACATCACGATCCATGATTTGAAGTCTAAAAATTTGGAGTGTGACAAGTGTTGATAATGGCACTTTTCTAAGAAACTTAGTTTATAATTAAATTATATAAAGAAATTTTTCGTTAAGGAATTAATGACACTTAATAAGAATGATAAAATTATAGGAGTAAAACAAAATTATCATTATAAACAACTCATGAAGAAACAACTATATGTAGTGATTATATCTACAGACATGCTTGTCCTACACTACATAAAATTTGGTTTATAATGGTATGACTTACGGTTATGAATAAAAATTGATTAATTAAAGAGTTAGCAAATTAATTTTATGTCATTGGTGCTTATACTATCGTGATAACACTAAAAGTTAAATTTATTCGAAAGAAAATTTTGAAATGTCCATTTCCATCATTACATGCTTAGATAAATTTTAGTGACTTGGTTTGATAAACACGTATGTAATGGTCAATTTTATAGTATCGAGTAATTCAACTAAGTGAGACCGTAAATCGTGGTTCACGTGGGCTAGTTTAAGTGAGTCGACCATATTAGCTTTGTTTTTTTCCTTAAGAAAATAGTTAATGTCTTTGTTCTCTCCTTCATTCATACGGTTTTCAGCTCAGCTCATAGGGTATTTGACCCTTAAACCGAACAAATTAGAGGATCGAAGAAACTTCACTTCCTATTGAGTAAAATCCCTAATAAAAAAAGCCTGTAGCTATCTACTAATCTCAATTTAAAAATAGCTCGTAAGATTTTGAAAAATATAACATCCCACGTATATTTTTACAATTATAAGTTTAAATACATAAGGGAGTTAGAACACAAAACAATCCAGACAAAAACGGAGACAAAATGGTGGAAGCTTTCGACCCTATGTTTAGCTCTTTCTATGGAACCTGCTCTACATTTGCTCCCATCCTCGACCATCATCTAGTCATTCCATGAAAACATGTAAAAAAGAGAGTGAGTATAAAACTCAATAGTGGATGCTGGGATACCAATTTTCTACCTAACCGAAGGTCGCTACCGGAAACATATCATGACTATTGAATGTAGAATTATCTTATTTAAACTTTCATAAAATATAACTTTATTTAACAATACAACCACGGACTTTCGTGTTTGAAAACATCTTTAAAATTACACAACAAAGGAAGAAATAAAATAAATGAACGATTAAATTAAAAACATCATATTCTAGCCTACGTCTAAGAAAAATAAATGCGACTACCCTATGCATGTGTTATGGTCTTGAATTGTGATGTCATTGTCAGTCGTACAAGAATGTCTTGCATTTACCTGAAATAGAAGTAGCACGTGACTTAAGTATAAGAAATATTTGATCCCACTATTGAATGTGACCTATCATAATATTCTATATTTGATCCCACTATTGAATGTGACCTATCATACTATTCTATTTTCTTGCTGCAGCTATCTTAATGGGAAAATTAGATGTGTAATTAATTTCCTACACACGGCCCACACGTGCAAGTATGGACCCATTAGTTAGTTCGCATACCTCTTGGGCCCCCTTTTCTTGTTGGGCGAGCATTCTCTGGTAGCTCTCCATGTTGGATACCGATTAGAAGTAGCAGTCATCATGACAACATTATGTTAAACATAATAATCCTTTTCGTGTCTAACCATCGCAACATTATGATAAACATAATGATAATTTTCCTTCTTGGTCATCGCAGCATTATGGTAATCATAATGATCATTTTCCTGCCTCGTAACGTACCGTCCGTTTTCATTATCATTAATACAATACCACTGTCGTTTCGTACATATTATATCATCTTTCATATCATTTCTGATATCGTTTATCATATCATTTATCATATCTTTCATGTATACGTCGGGGTTGTATTTCATGCTAGTTTGTCGTTTTGTATGTCAATCATATCATATCATTTATGTCGCACATATATCATAACAAAACATTTTCATACTTCCTGAGATAACAATTCTCAACATGCACGTATCATATCATATCGTATATCATAACATCACATAACATATTCCTAACATATCGGTTCACATTATGTCATATCATAACCATACCAATAATCACATATTAGGTACGATAAACTATATCATATCATCCTCATATCATTTTACTATATTTATATATATCGTCATTCCCATGACATATCATAATCATATCATTTCGTAAACACTTCGTGGTCATATCTATCTCTAACTTATCATAGTCTTAACGTTCTTATACATATCATAGTCATATCTGAACGTACCTTAGTCATATCGTTTCCTAAACTTATCCTAACTATATCGTTTCATCAGTTCATCACAATCAAATCCTTTGCAATACCAGACCTTACCGTATCGTATTATCAATCTATCATAACCATAACATTTTCTATACATAACCGTATCGTATCGTTTTATCAATTTATCATAATCATAATGTTTTCTATACATAATCTTATTGTATCGGTTTATCAGTCTATCATGAACATAATGTTTTTCTATCAATTTATCATACCATAACAGTCTCTATACACGTGTGAAACTACAAAGCACGTGTCATCATCACATATAAGCATGTCGATGGTAAGATCACTTACCTGATTAGCTTACGTTGTTGTCACGAATTTATCCTTAATAAAAGTTCGATTCGGTCCATTGAAATCCAAATCAATCTATGTGAGCCATGACATCAATTTCAAGTTCGAACTTTTACAAAATTGTTTCTTTAATTTACATTGGTCCATGTGTTATACTTCATGCAAACGATAGAGTCTTTGGATGAGTTAAATCTTGAAATGTTTATATATGTTTGTTATATTATTATTTTCATACAAACCGATTAATACCTTTTTTACATTTTCCATGTATTTTCTTTTCTCTTATTGTGTATTTCCTTTTTTTTTTTTTTTTTTCCTTTCTTTTAACTACAGACACAATCTTCCCGTTTATCTCCCTTTGTTTTCTTTTCACCGTTACCTTTAGTCATTCTCATACAAAATTCTTTTCATTTAATCTCTAATCCAAAACTAAATAATTGTTCATCGTTCTATTATTGTATTGTAGGGAGGTGCTCGGGTTGGGAAGGAGGAAAGGAGATGTGAAAGGTAGGATAAGTTACCATTTTTTTTAATTATTATGATAATTTATTTTTAAGATGGTTACGTAAGATACCTTACCTTGGTGAGGAAAAATATATGATCATGTTGTACCGTATATCCAGGGGTCTAGTGTTAGGACCCTAGATTTCTATTTACCTAGTGGGGCTATAGTCATCATAACGGAAGGGAATGAACTCTTCATCCACGTAGCAAAACATTGAGAACCGTTTTGATTTTTATTATGAATTAAAACAAAAGTAATAAATACGAGAGTAAAAACTCTATCTTTGAAGAAACCCTAGCTTTCAAGTCCTTAAAGATTTTCAACCATGCAAACAACATTCCACGAGATCTTCCTTGCTACGACTCGAACACAAGTTCAAGGCTTGTGGGAGCCTCTTGAATGAAAATCCTAAACGATTGGAGGAGAATAGTTTGGAGAATTTCCTGGAGACGTAATTTCATTCTCCAGAGAAAGTGGGAGAGATATATATTTTGATTCAACCCGAGGGTCTTATTTATTGGGACTCTTGGAGAATATTTACCAAATAATA